CATATGTTTTTGTATATTTAGGACTAATAGCAGACCACTATTTATTTTTTTTTATTTTGTCTAGATTTTAGATGTATCGATTTTTTACATATTTACCTTTAATGTGTCATTTTGTGCGACGTGTCGGAATTGGAACAGAGTGAGACTATTAAATTTTCCAAGACACTTTGTCTAATTAAAAAATTTTGTAGCGAAAAAGTTTCAGTGTCTGTTTCGGCGAAACGCGTAATGGGGTTTAGCTTGATTCGACTTTCAAACCAAAAAATTTTCTTGAAAGCCAGTTTGGAAGTCGAGTTCGGCTTTTACCATTTTCCGCTTACTTTTTTATCTGATTTTGTTTTTTTAAATTTTTCCTGTTACATGGTTTGATTTTCTATGTATTAATTTTTTTAAAACGTGTTGAACTTTTTGGAGCAACAGCTCCTGGTACTTTTAGCAAGCTTACTACTTTCTAATTTTACTTATTTTCAGCATATTGCGCAATGTTATCTCAAATTGGTCATTCAGTAATTGTAATAACTACCTTGCTTGATATTTTTAAAGAAATAATACAGTGAATGTAAAACTGTATAAAGCAATACAAAATACTCTAGCTGGAATTCTAAAGATATGTTGTTTTAAATATGTATGGATTTTGCTGTTGAATTTTATGGGGCATATGTACATATAGTAAATAAGGTTTAAAAGACAAAAAAAAAAAAAAAAAAAAAAAAAGACCAACAAAATTTTGTAAGTCATCTTACTGAGAAAACTGAATATTGATATGATGAATTGAAGGGAAAAAAATAGGGACAAATCTGAAGATGAGATGCTTTTAAAAAATTTGTGATTTTGCTGTTGAATTTTAAGTGTCATATGTGTGAAGAAAGTGATGTTCAATAATAAAGCTAAAAAGAGAAAAAATATTATGTAGATAACGTTCGTGAACTGAGAAAAGACTGAAAATAAAACAGAGAAATGTTTCTCAACATTTAACACTATATCAGGAACTTTTAAAAATTTATTATTTTACTGTTGAATTTTATGTAAAGTAAGTAGAATTTTATTTAGAGAAGAAAGTTATGTGTATTGATAAAGTTATGAGTCTAATAAGACATTGCTACACTGCGAGCGCATAAAAAACCATAATATATGCTATATTGACTTGTTATTTTGACGAGCCAAAATAACAAGTCAAAGAATTGCACAAAACTTGGTATCCATGTACTGCCAAAAATCGCCAAGTTTCGCCAAGGGGTACCCTAAAATATACTTTTACCTTTCTTTCTTTTGTAATAAATCTCTGTTGAAAATAGTCCTGACAAATCCATTCAGAAATTTGTTATTAATGAAGATTATGGACCTACGTTTCAGGCAACTCAGGGTTCTAGTTATATTGATGTTACTGTTATTGGTTCAGATCTTCTCCAGGATGTTTCGAGTTGGCGGCTGTCTGAAAAAGAATCCCTTTCTGATCACATGATGATTGAATTTGAATTGTCTCTCCTACGTTCTTACAAGACACCTCAATGTTCCTTTTAAAATCTCAATACAGGGGAAGCAAATTGGGATCATTTTCGAAAATTTTGTTATTCTCGCATCACCCGTTTCATTGATTTCTTAACGACTGTACTGACGGTTCTCGCCTAAATACTCTTGTGAGAATTTTAGTTCTGTTCTTCTCCGGGCATCTCAATTTTCATACCTGTTAGGAATCATGTAAGCACAATGTTCCTTGGTGGTCTGCCGGAATTTTTGTATGAGAAAGAGGCTTAATGCCTCTAGGCGTAGATTTCAGCGTTGTAAATCCGCCTCTTAGAGAACTTTATAAAAGTAAATATCTTGGAATAGAAAAGTTTACAATCTAAGCTTGCCGATGCTAAATCTCGGTCTTGGAAACATTTCTTTCGGCCATTGATGTTCACATTATGGAAAAAATTTACACGTATGGAGTTAAAGAGATTCATGAAAAAATTCAAAAACTGGTATTTGTCTTTCCACTGGAGAGACAACCAACTCTTTAGAAGAGATATTACTGCTGTGCTTCAGAAATCTTTCCCCTCAGATCTAGAGGAAAATGATGATGATTTGCATAGGAATACCGTCAGCTGCAACGTACTGCTTATTCTTCTTTTGTAGTCCTATGTTTTCTTGTGATGAAGTTAATACAGTTATTTCTATGCTGGAACCAAATAAATCACCTGGTCCTGACTCTATTTCGAATGAGATTATTAAACAGTTTCATTTAATGTTTCCTCAATTTCTCCATAAACTTATTAACGTTTGTCTAAATGTTGGCATTTTCCCACATGTTTGGAAACATGCTCAAGTAATTCATATTCCTAAAGAAAATGAGTCTAGGATTCCTCATCTAGATAACCTTAGATGTATAAGCTTACTTCCTGTTTTAGGTAAGTGCTTGGAAAAACTTTTTATTAACAGAATTTGCTAGTATCTCCGCCATGGAGACCTTCTTTCTGGTAATCAGTATGGTTTCACCTAAAAAGTGTTCGGAAGACGCTCTTTTACGCTTGAATGAAATTGTTCAGAGAGAAAAAAAGAAAAACTTGCACACTATTTTGGTCTTTTTGGATATTAAGGGTGCCTTCAACTATGTGTGGTGGCCTTGTATTCTCAATCTTCTCAAAAAAGTGGAACTTCAAATGAATATTTTTTCACTTGTTGCTGATTTTTTAAATGATCGGGCGGCCAAACTGCAATTGGGCTTGGCTTCTGCAATTCGTCACCTTGAAAGGGGTTGCCCTCAGGGCTCTGTTTCAGGACCTACGTTTTGGAATAGTATTATTAATGATCTCCTATTAAAACTGGAAAATCATGCTTGTTGTGATACTAGAGCCTTTGCGGATGATGTTTTGTTTTGCTTCCAGAGTAGGGACCTTTCTGCTATTTTTTTACAGGCACAAGAGACTTTAAATTTCGCCTCTAACTGGTCAAAAGGTTTTAGATTAGATTTTAATTCTGATAAAACCAGGGTTATGATTATTGAAAAGCGAAACATCTGTTATGATGCATTTCAGTTATCTCTCGATAGCACCCCTTTGACTGTGGTAAAGCAAATGAAATATCTTGGGGTTTTTCTTGACTGTAAATTTTCTTGGAAACAACACTTAACTTATGTATCAGAGAAATGTGATAAATTGCAGCGTGGATTAAGTTGTCTTGCACGCAACACATACGGTATTAATTACAACATTCATTCGCTCATTTATAAACAAGGAATTGCACCCTTCATTATGTATGGCTCTAGAGTCTGGGGTATATCGCTCAAGAAGAAGATAAATTATAGATATTTACGACGTGTTCAAAGGCGGATACTTCTGCGGGTCATATGTGGATATCGTACCGTAAGCTATGAGTCTTTTTTATGCAATTTCTGGCTTTCCTCCAATTGACATTGCCATTCTTTCATTCTATTGCTTATAAGGAAAATATTTCTGCTTCTACTGTCTCTCAGTGTGATTGTATTTACCTCTATCTGATCTCCCTCATCCTTCAGAAAGAAATGCTGTTAATTTTATTCAGTTTAGCAATAAAATTGTAGATGATTCGCCTGTAACTTGCTATACTGATGGCAGCAAAATTGATGGCAAGGTTGATCTCACATTTGTTGTCTTCAGAAATGGTCTTGAATTTGAGCATTTTCAATTTAGAATCAGAGATGAATGTACCGTTTTCATAGCTGAACTTTTGTGCTTAAACTTCGCCGTCAAATGGGTCTCTAAAAAAACAGTGCTGTTTAGGACTATCTCATTTGTACTGATTCCCTTTCATCCTTGGAGATCTTAAAATGTATTTCTTCTTCTAATAATATCATTATCGAGATTCAAAAAGAACTGAAAAATCTAAAGGATAAAAATATTTTGGTTACATTTTCATTTGTTTGTGGTCACAGGTGTTTGTTGGGAACGAACGAGGCCCGATTTCCTTGCTAAGACTGCGCCTAAGCGGGAAATTGACTTTTGTCATATCCCTAATTCCTTTTATAAGAAGGTCATGTATGAAAGCATTGTGGAGTCGTGGAATCACGAATTCATTAATTCAAATAAAGGGAGTTTAACTAGGAGATTTTTCCTTTCTATTAAAATGAGATTGTCATTTCATCATTTCTTCACAAATTACAAATTAACCCAGTTTCTTACTTTACATGGGGATTTTAAAAGTTATTTGAACAGATTTAAGTTAAGTCCTGAGTCTGTTTGTGACTGTGGCCTTGGCGGCGAGGAGAATGTTGAACATGTGCTTCTTCTATGTCCTAAATATGAGAGCGAAAGAAAAGTCTTGAAACTGGGACTGAAAAATTCTAATATTAACTGGCCTCCAGAGTTTTACCAATTTATTTCCGAGAGAAATGCTTTTAACACTTTTTGTCAGTTCATTGTAAAACTTTGTAATCATCCTTAATTTTATTTCAGTTTTCTCTTCTGTTTATTTTGTATTGTGTTTCATACTTACTACTGTAAGCCCCATGTGATACTATGTGGTACATGTGGAATTTGTTGTGTTTCTTTTAATTAAAAAAAAATCCATTCAGAATAGTTTCTAATTGCTACAGTTGTATATGTGATAATGTGTTATGTTAAGAAAGTTTGTCTTTTTAGCTGTACTTCTGGAGAGTAAAAATTGGAATTAAAAGAAGTTAGGATTAGGTGAACTGAAGAAAATTTCTGTGAATTATATTTCATATTCAATGTCAAATGATACAATTTGCTGTTTAATGCTTGGAATTTGTTTTATAGCTTTTAAAGGCTATAACTGTTAATGAAAATAAAAGCTAATTTTAATTAATTGAAGTTTTATGTGTTTGTTTTTTATTTTTAATTCTTATTTATTCAGATAAAAAATTTTAATTTTATTTATTCAGATATATATTGTTATTTATTTATTCAGATATCCAAATTTTTATTTATTCAGATAGATATTGTATATTTATAATTTAAATTTCTAGTAGTCCTAAAAAATATTCCAATATCCAATAAAAAAAATTTTCTTTTTTCATTTAAGGATCTTCCTGTTTAAGTTTTGATATTATTCCGGATAACCTGGGAGATAACCGGGCCGATCAGTATCCTTTAACCATGACTTTAGTTGGTGGAACGCAAGCAGAAAAAGTACATTGTAATAAATTATTCATCATGAAAATGAGCAATATGCACCAGACAAAGCCACCAAAAGATGAGGAAGATGATGAGGATGAAGAAAATGAGTCTGATAGCGAGGATGAGGAAGAAACAAAACCTGTTTTAGAATGTGCTGCTATTCGTCATTCTGGCTGTGTGGACAGGATTAAGGTTTGTATAATAACCATATAATTTTATGATAACTAAATATTTATGAATAATTTTTGTGATTTGAAGTATGCTGCATAATCATTTTATATTTATTTCATTAACAGCTTGTTCAACGCTTTTAATATTTATTTTGGCATGAAACTTTTTTGCTTTGATAGCTGTAGGAAATTAATTAATTGGCTGTAACTTTCAAGATGAGAAAAATAGATTTGTACTATATATAAATTTTATGAAAATATAAAATATGTTGTAATTTTCATGTTACAGAACAATTTTAGAAACTACCTCAAGACTAGATTAGTTTTAACACTTTATGGTAATTTTCATGCATGCAAAGGTTTCGGAAAGCAAAATAATGTAATAGAGAAAAGTATTAAACTCAAAATAATGATATTTAGGTGAGTTTCTTTTTTTTATTAATAAAAATGAAAGTGGTTTTTATTGTTTAGTTGTGTGACTCTATAGTCTACCCATATTAATTTTATGTATTTTGTAATTTCTATAATAATTATGTTGAAATAAGTTCATAATTTAGCAAGTGCATAATATTAGACTTTACACTCTTTTGTATAGCAAGGAATACATTTAAAAATCTTTACCAAAATATTTTTGATCAGTGATTGGCAAATAAGAAGTAAGACTTAAATAAGAAGTAAGATCTTGTAAAAAGTGTTGAGTAATTGATATAAAATGAAAAGTATAGTAAAAATTATTTGTGCTGAATGAGGCACTTAAAAATTTCTATATATGAATTAACGAGCTCAACTAGCATTACAGTAAAGCTCCACAGTGAACGCAAACAAACACAGCTTGCTTTACAAATATGTGAATAACAGAGGTGCGTGTCTGGGAAGAAAGAATTGCTGAAGCGTTAAAACCTCAGCATTCTTTTAGATTTTGAAAATTTGAGAAAATTTTCTGTTTGAATTAATTACAGGACATTTTAAGATTGTGATAGCAGTGGAGATGGTAAATTTTATTATTTTTATCATTTCTGTAGTATGTATATAGTCAGTAAACTAAGGATGTTATAAAAGTTAGTGATTGTTAGATGTTTGTATAAAATAGTAAACATATGATGTTATATAAGCTATATACTAATAGTTTATAATATTACAGTACTTAGCAAATGAGTTTTAATTGATTGACTCAGATTCACTATTTCACTCTGATTTATAAGATAATATGCATTACTCATTTTATTCTTAAATTAATGATATGTATGCTTATTTTATGCATTATATTTTGAAATGTATCATTTAGGTTACAAAATTTGCTGACAAATATATTGCGGCTTCTTGGTCTGAGGTTGGCAAAGTTTTTGTGTGGGACTTAACACTTCCAATAAATGCTGTAAATGACCACCGTGTTATGATGTCGTATATTCAAAATTCTGAAAATCCACAACCCATATTTACATTTGCTGGTCATTTAAGTGAAGGATTTGCTTTGGAATGGTCCCCATTAGTTTCAGGTATGATTGTAATAATTTTTGTATTTTTTATGTTAGTTGATTTCTTATTGTTTTTATCATTTTAATTTGAAAGTTGTATGTAGTACAGTCAAAAGTCTCCGGACTCGTCGGGACTTCGGCGATTCCGAATTATAGATCATCAGTTTAAATCTGGTAAGTAGGCATGCAGAAATTACAAAATTAAAAATATGAAACCGTAATTTATAAAAACAATTATGATCTAAAGGGGCAAAAAAAAGCTTAATATTTTTTGTTTACTTTATTAAACATTTCTTCAATGTAAGTTGTTTTAAGTGCTTCGTTTCATGTGATATCCTTTCTCTTTAATTCTATTAAACAGACATAATTTCTGTTTAGTTACAAAGTTCCACTGTTCAAGTCCTATAATTGCGTGTCGAGTACCGGCTAATTTGTCAAAATTTTTTTCGTTTTCAATAACTTCTGTGTCACTTTCTTCCTATCGGAAGCGAATTTGACCAGGACTTGATTTAAATCATATCAAAGACGTACATCGAGATGAATACTAATTTAGTAAGGAATTAAAAAAAAAAAACATTGCCCTAAGATAGGATAGTGCTGAAGAAACTTCCAATTCATTGCGGCCGCGGCGTTTCCCCGGCCCGCCGCAGAGCACGTGAAATGATAATAATTTCGGTTGAACTACTCGCTGTATCCTTTACATATTAGTAATATATATTGGAATTCTATTTGCATAATCGAAAGTTCAAGCTTACTTTTATAAAGGCTCTACATCTGCAAAAAATATAAGCCGATCCAATTCGAGATTAAGGACACGCAATCTGCAACTAACTGAATTAGATAATTTAGCTTAGCTTATACGGTCCGTTATACATTAAACGCACATGCGTAAACGTATTATGCGCATGCGCACACGCATATTCGCAGCCGTCAAGGTCTTATGCGCATGCGTGAACGCGACGCATGCGCAGAGAGTTTGTAGGTTTGAGGTCCGGATTATGGGTGTCCGAAGTAACAACTTTTGACTGTAGTAGGTAATTACTGCAATTATATTTGAAGATAATGCAGAATAAAAAAATATATTTCTTTGATTAGTAAAAATTAATTTGTTAGTTAAGTTAAAAGATACTTATTATTTAGTGATTTCCTCACATACAAAGGCATTTTTTGTATTTTGAAATATATCACCTAGGTTATTCTATTTTGTATATTGTAGGTTATTTATTGTATTTGCGCTTAGGTTATTGTATTTTGTTTGTATTTTTTCTATGTTGAAATGTATCACTTCTGTTAATATGTTTGTATTTCTGACTGCAGTTGTCTTCTAATCTGCCATTGGAAATAATAATCATAATTAAAAAAAAAGTCTATATTCAGATAGGAAATCAGAAAGTGATGTTGAAAAAGGTAACGTTCTATTCAAGATGTGAATTTCAAGTATCTTTGTGTAAATTAAAATTTGTTTTGGAATAAAATGAGTTCCTTGAAAGTGAATAAAGTATCCAAATAGGAGCATCAAAGATTTCAATAAATTACAGAAAAATTTTGAATTGCACCTTGCAGGAATATTTTCATTATTTGATAAAATCTGTTAGTGAATTATTCTATCAGTAGACTGAATCTTTATTTAAAAAAAAAAAAAAAAAAAAAAAAAAATCAGGAACAGGTTTTTTTGACATTAAAAACATATTGATTATGGAATATTGCAAGATTTTGGAATCATATTTTTTACATTGCATTTTTTATAAATACTCTTAAGTTAAACTGCATAACATAATTTTCATTGTGCGTTTCTGTAACTTTATCTGGCAGTATTAATTTAAAGTTAATAATTGCAGCAAATTTCTTTTTGATAATTATAGAAGCATAACTCCTTTATATGATTCAAATGAAATAGAAAACATAAGTAATGAAATAATTTTGAAGTTTTATGTTAAATACACTTTAAAATATTGTCAAAAAATAATGTCTCATTTCTGCTTTTGTGGAAACAAGCTTGACCATGGGTTATTTGCCAAAAAGTTTTATTTTAAATGATTCCCTCTGGAAATGTAAATTAATTAAATGAGAATATGAAGTATATTATTGCAAAATTTAAAATATTTAAGGTTTTTTTTAAGAAATTAAAAATTTATAATAAACCTGTTATCACTCATCAAGATGTAACTTGCTTTGACATGATTCAAATGAAATTAGGTATACACACATATATGTATATCAATATGTGTGTATGTGTCTAGTGTAAAATCATGTAATAAATTCATAGCTTTTCCCTATTCCTTTCCCTCCCCCCTTGATATTTTATTGACCTTTTTGCAATATTTAGGCATGCTTGCAACTGGAGATTGCAAGAAAAACATTCATTTGTGGAAACCTTTAGAAGGAGGTTGGCATGTTGATCAGAGACCTTACACTGGTCATACAGATTCCGTAGAAGATATACAGTGGTCTCCTACTGAAATAAATGTAAGTATTTTTGACTCTGCAACTGATATGACGTCAAATTTCTTGTAAGTGAAACCATGTATTATTTCAGATATTATTTTTGACTATAATTACACATCATTTTTTTCCTTAATACATTGAGTAAACCCATTATATATAATGGGTTAATAGCTTCTGTCATATTACTTTATCATCATGTTATTCTGCTTCGTCATTGTCATCTGGTGAAGATTTCATTGAGCTTGAAGACAAATTTAAGTGAATTTGAATGCCACTGTTGAAATATTTGATGAGGAAATCATCATTTTAAATCTTGTGCCCAAAGTTTCTGATGATGATGTTAACTCTTGAGAAATATTATTTAAGGGTTTAGCTTATCAGAAAGTTTTTGTTTAGGTGGACCTCTCTCTAAACTTGATCATCTGAAGCTCTAAAATGAGAAGAAAAGTCTCTTTGTTTTTTAACTTAATTTTTTTTTTTTATATTATCCTTATTCTGATATATTTCTCTGTACAGATGTAAGAAGAGAATTATTTTTGTGTTTTTATTCTTTTTTATTTATTCTGCTTCTTTTAGTGTAATGATTTTTCTTTTATACAGTCAAAAGTCGTTAATCCGGACTCGTCGGGACTTCGGCGATTCCGAATTATCGATTTTTCCGGATTATAGATCATCAGTTTAAATCTGGAAGATGGCATGCAGAAATTACAAAAAAAAAATATGAAACCGTAATTTATGAAAAAACAATATATCTAAGGGTATCAAATTTACAAAAAGAAAAAGCTTAATATTTATTTGTTTACTTTATTAAACATTTCCTTCAATGTAAGTTGCTTCGTTTCATGTGATAATACTTTTCTCTTTAATTCTATTAAACGACATAATTTCTTGTTTAGTTACAAAGTTCCGCTGTTCAATCTATAATTGCTGTGTTACCGACTATTTGTCAATTGAAATGTTTTCGTTTTCATAACCTCTGGTCACTTTCTTCACTATCCGAAGCGAATTATAATGGCAGGAACTTGTTTAAATCATATCAAAGACCGAGTATGGAGATGAATACTACACTGTACGGAATTATAACCAAATAAAAAAAACATCTGCTCTGAAGATAAGGATAGTGCTGACAGATCACTTCCAATCCGCAGTGTGAATTGATAAACAGATTTCGATTTCAAAAATACTTTTGCTTGTAGATACAATTACATATAGTAATAATCGGAAATTCTATTGACATAATCTTTCTAATCTATCATATCTAATATGACGTTTCTGCCCCCCTTGCCGCAGAGCAGCGTGAAAGTGATAACAGATTTCGGTTTCAAAACATACTTTCGCTTTGTAGTAATATATATCGGAAATTCTATTTGTCATAATCGATAGTTTAAGCTTACTTTTATAAAATTGCTCTAAACAGTCTGCAAAAAATAATAAGTCAGATCCAATTCGAAGATTGATTAAGGAACAACGCAATCTGCGACATTAACTGAATTAGATAATTTTACCTTAGCTTATACCGTCCCTTATACATTAAACGCGCATGTGCACAAACATATTCGCAGCTGTAAGGGTCTTATGCGCTCTCGTAAACGCCTGTGCGCATGCGTAAACACGACGCATGCGTAAACGCGACGCATGCGCAGAAAGTTTGTAGCTTTGAGGTCCGGATTATAGATCATTCCGGATTATGGGTGTCCGAATTAACGACTTTTGACTGTTTGAAATCCACACGACCTCTGGTCCCAAGCTAAGTAAATTTATGATCTTCTGCTGCATTTATTATTTCTAAATGTATATTAGTTGCTTAGTTCGGAAATTTTGTGAGTAGTCTGAGTAGTAGTAGTATGTAGTCTGAGTGTATCTCATTGGTGGCCAAATTTTTTATTCTTGGAGGGGGGGTCAGTTTTAAGTTATATTTTGGGACCATTAGTATATATATTTAGGAATATTTTCTGGGATCATAAACAGTTGATTCAATGTTCTTATGTTAGTAATTTCAAGTAATCTTTCTAGACAGTTTTGAAAATATGACAAGACAAGAATAACCAATGACATTCAAAATACTTTTGAAATTTCAGGAAAAATATTTGTTATTAAATGTGCAGTATCTTTGGTTACAGTTTTTAATGGTTTTAAATTCTGAAGATACTCATAAATCTCTAGTCGATAATTAAAAATTTTATTAATGTAGTTCTGGGAAATAGATAAACTAAACCATCACTAATCTATCATTTATATTTTGGTTTATATCTTTGTTATTTATCAGTTGTGACTTCTGATTTTTTGCGTTATTTTATAATCTGTTTATCTATTGATAACACAAGCCTGCAATGGCTGTCTTTTTAAACTTTTGATAGTTGATTCTTGTGTATTTTTCAGTGCTGAATCCAAAAATGACTTTTATTCTTTACCATAATGTCAGAATTTTTTTGCAAATTTCAAAATTGTTAAAAAGCCAAAAAATTGCAAAAATATGAGATTTTTAAAGTAGACATAAAACTTTTTCCCCTTATAATTTATTCTATCTTTTTTTTTTTGTTTTTTTTTTGTTTTTTTTTTTTTTTGATTGTAGCCAAATTTTTAGCATTCTTATAGCAAAACAATTGAATGGGGGAGAGGAGGTTTATCGACCCTTTCAGTTTTCTAATGAAAACTGCTTTAAATGAGCCTAATTTTCCATTTTATTACACAAATACAAAATCATTGGTTGGGATTGTTGATGTACTCCAATCATGCGTAATCAAGTTTTGGTGGTGCTACTGCTAATGTATCTTAATTAGTTAAAATAAGAACCAAACTAAGGAATAGATTAATAAGTGATAGATTTCAGTAGAATCATTTATAGACAAACTGTAATACAGTTTCATGTTGCTGTAATATGTAAAGTGTAATTTTGTTAAATTTTTTTGCAACCTGGCGTTTTGCTTTTGTGGCCCAACATTTGGAAAACACTGGTATAGCTCAACAGTATTTAGCTGCACTTATTGTCTTTCCTTATGGAGGGTATAGTAGTAAAAAAAAACTCAACAGAAGACCACTATGCAGTAAACAACACCTTTTTTAAGAGGGATGCAAAGATGCCTTTGGAGTTTTTCCTGGATCATCTTTAATTCTTTAACTCCTTAACTGCCACGGGCGTATATATGCCTTGCTCAGCCTTCCGAAATACTGTCATTTGCTTCGTACTGGTACCAGTAAAATTATTTGCAAAGCTTTGGAATGCAACACCACAATGATCTTGACAAATCATGCGAAGAAGAATACTGTATTAGAAAAGAGAGGGGGATGTTTCTGAAACGGTGAAAGTAATGACTGCACGATTATTTCTCGTGTTTCTGTTTGAGTAAAACATATTTTTTTATTGTGTCTTCCGTTTGTAGTAGGTGCTTATTTACGGATACGTCTGACAGTGGTGATTATTTTTTGATGAACTGCTTGTGCTTCATCTTGATACTGAAACTGACCATTTTGCAAACCAGTATATGAACCAAGATCCTGCAAAAGAAAAATCAAGAACAAAATCATGGCATCCAACCAATTCAGACGAAATATATGTTTTTTTAGGTATACTAATTTTGCAAGGTATAACACAAACTTGATATTACACTTAACTGGTCTAAAAATAAATTGATGGAAACTCCATTTTTGGGGATCTTTTTTACTATACAAACATCATTTTTATTGTACTTGCATCTTTTTTATTATATTTTTACTCTAAGCATTAAATTTTGCATTTTCATTTTTTCTTTTATTTTTTATTTTCTGAAAGTAAACAATTTTTAGAGAGCAAAACTTGCACTTATTACGTGCGACTGTGCAAAAAAACAGTGGCACTGGGGGTGAATTTTTACATTTTCTGCGGCATTTAAAGGTTTAATGCCCAACCACTTTGTGTCCCAAACTTTAGAAGAGTCTGAATGTTCTCTGGTGAGTTTATTGTGAATCTGATTCAGTTTTAAATCCTCCCATTGATTCAAATTAGTTGAGGAAGGATGTGATCACAAGATTCATGTTGTCGTCTCAAATCCTGAGTGAAATTCTGCGAATCAGTGATGAATGCCCCTCTCATTAGTAGTTCTCCCATTGAATGCTGTAGTGATTTTTTGATAACTTTAAAAAGTATCAAAATGACTTATTCCAACTTTTTAACATTATATTATTTTGAAGGGTTTTTTTTTTTTTTTTTTTTGTTCACAAAATCATCAGAGACAGTGTAGACATCTGTTGATTGCTCCAGTTGCTTTTATGTAGACAGTAAAGGAAGATTTCTGAATACAAAATATACATTTATGTTTACAAAGTAAATATTTGTAGTCTTTATATACTTTAAAAATGAGTTTTATTTAGAAAACTCTTTGCACAACTAATAGCACATAACAGCATTTGCAAGAAAAGGTTGCAGTAGTATTACAATATTTGGAACTTTGTTCTGCAGCTTGTAGTTTAGAATAAACTGCAAAAATTCAATAGTACTACTGCTCTTCCACATTCCTATTTTGCTTTCCCTGGCAATAAGGGAAATAAAATTCTGGAATGCTCCTCTCATAATGAGGAATTTTTCCTTATTGATGTCACCATATCATAATTTAATTGAGAGTCATAATTTTCATTCAAAAGTTTTGAGAGCATAAAAAAGGCATAACGAGTATGCAGCCATTTTGAAATCTCTTGATGACTTTTTTTTTTAATACTGTAATATGCAAAAGCTATTTTGCACATTAATGTAATTCTGTATGTCAATTCAGAATTTGATAATTTATTATTTGCCTTGCCGATCAGCCTGACAAACCTTTATAAAATAATGTTTCACATTAAAAATGCTGCCTCCAGAAATGTGCTGCCCAAGGTGGATCATCCCCTCTGCCTCCCTCTAGCTACATCACTGTTTAAATGCAAAGAGGCATCACTCAGAGAAACTGGTAGTTGAATGGAGAACAAATTGAAGATCTTAAGAGCCCATTATCAACAGTTATTGAGCCATGTGGTTGATAAAACTGTGGAACTGACATAATATGACACAG